GTGAGTGAGTGAGTGAGTGAGTGAGTGTGTGTGTGTGTGTGAGTGAGTGTGAGTGTGTATAAATGTTTTATTTTTTTTTTAATCAAATGTAAATTCATGCCCCAGTCACATTTTCTAGGTTAAATAAACATTACTTTTTAAAAAATCTATTTTATATTTTTACATTAACAATATAATCAATATTCTGTTTATTAAAGCCAAGTATGAATTTCATCAAGTTCATGTTTTTAAGCATTTTACATTTATTCCAAAATATCAACTCAAAGCAGTAACAATTGAAACAATATATTTTATTTGTGAACTTGTAACTATTTTTGAATTTTTTGGATCATTAGGCATCAAAGCTTAGTAAATATTGGTCACAAACACTGAGATTTACTTTAAATCTCACCAAGCTGTTTACTCAGTAAAAACTCCCACAGATCTTTTTTTTCATGCCATTTTACACAGCATTTTTAAATGAGCAGGGCTTAGTGACCTGAAAGTCTCTAATTGCTCAGGTGTGAAGGATATAAATAAAGTTTTCTATTTTAACTTATTATTATTAAACAGGTGTAGTGCAGACCACTGAATTGTCACATTTATTATTAATGATAATAAATATGCCAATTCTATCCATATATTATTAATGATTTCATTTTGCTCATTATTTATGATCCAATCCTTATTATTATTAATAATATTTATATTATAAATATTATTATTATTAAATGGACTTACCTCCTGACAAAATAATACACTGTATAATATATTATAATATAATATAATACCACTAAAACTTCTAAAAACTACGTTTTGAAACTATTTATTTTATTTGTTTGTTCATTTTAATTACTTTTGCTCATTATTTATGATCCTATCCTTTTTCCTGACAAAATACTACATACTGTTTAATATACTGTATTACTATCATATACTATAATATAATATAATACAACTAAAACTTCTAAAAACTAAGTTTTGAAACAATTCATTTTATTTGTTTGTTAATTCATGTAGCAGTGTTGTTATCATTGTAATATCGCTGCATTTCTCTTATTGTGCACAAGCATAATTTTCCAGGAAGAAAGTAATGCAAATATTTAATATGCATATCTGCTAATACTTTATTTTATCAAATGTATTAAGATTAAATTATTATTAATTAGCCTTAAAAGCTAGGAGACATATACTAAAAGCTCAAGTTATGACTTAAGGGAAACTATAATATGTTATAATTGATTGCAGCAGAATATACTTCCTGCAAACACAGCCCATAAAGTGAAATTATGATGAGAAAATCATATTCACTGAACTCACTCAACATAGAAGATTTGGCCTTTATCATCGGTCTCCTGCTCCCATCCATATGGCAAAGCTAAAAAATAAATAAAACATCAAATCAAATACATTCTGCAGTTTACTTATTCTTCATCACTGCTTATCAAAACTCTTCACAAAGCTCTGCACACTTCACTCATGTTTCTTAATCATATTGAGAAAAATGAATCTCACAGTGAAAGCACTTATGGACATAAGCCTGTGGCCATTATTAATAATCAGTGTACCTCCAGCACAGCGTTTCTTCTTCCCAGTTTTGGGATGCTCCCATTGAGTCTTCATTTCCTCATGACTGAAATGAATTATACACTCGATGTGTCAATCATCCTATAAATCACATCTTGGGTTGCTATACACTCCTCTTTCTTGCATTAATAGCACAAATGAAAAGTGTAAATGCACATGTTTATCTCATGTATGTGTGTGTTTTGTGTGTGTTTTGTGTGTGTGTGTGTGTGTGTGTGTGTGTGTGTG